CTCAGCTTGGCTTTCCTGGGCAACCCACTCACACACAGCCCTTTTCCTTGAGCCATGAGGAACTTCTGGTTTAGATGTAGCTAGGATTTTTATAAAGATCTGGTTTATTTTCATTGTTCTTGTTACACTGAACAAATCCTGCTTCTACACTAGCTCATTGTGCAGAGTGGGATATGCTCTTTTCCTTAGCAAGATCTTGATGGGTCTCATCCAGCCGGTTCCAGGCTCACAGGCATGGGGATGCTCACATGGCCTCACTGCTTATCCCACCCATCAGGGCCAGGGAAAGCACCACAGGGTAAAACAGGACTGGAGAACAACACAAAATCACAGTCAATAGACTGGTTTTTAAATACTTCTTCTCTTTTACAAAAACAACAGCCAAGCAAAACTTGCATTTTTCTAACATGATGCTTAAACTGAGATTCAGGTCACTGTGATACATGTGTTTCTTCAAACTTCAAGGGTCACAACCCTGCCTCTTGGAGCAGCAGTAAATAACAAAACCAAGCTCCAAGATCTCAAAGCACCTGGTAAATGAGTCAGTACATTCATTATCTTTAATGTCATCATAATTGGTAAAATATGGAAAGAAAAGTATCCCTAAGCCAAAGTTTCTGTATTTTAAACATAACAAGGTATACCGCATACCAAAGACACAAGCAACACTTTCATTAAAGTGAGACAGTCAGCAGGTCAGCAGGACCCAGTATTCAAAACAAAGTATTCTTTTCAAAAGAACTTAATAAAATTTAATACAGAAGCACTTACTTGCTGGTTTTGTCTGAATATATTTAAAATATATACATATAAAAAATGATAAGCCCTATTTTAAAGTTACAAATGTATTTCGGCACTTGTTCTAGCTGTAGGTGAAAAGCATGAAAATGAAGTCTAAACAGAAAAAAATGGTAATAAAAAAAGCAAATACAGGGCTAGCAGGAAAAATACCTGAATATTTAGTATTACTGGCAAAAAGGGTATTCCAAGATCTGTTATTAATAAAAATGGTTTATCTCAAATATTTACTTCAGATGTTCCCCAGTCAATAGAAAAGAAAATGGAAAAAACCTGCATGGTAACATCCTCCTAAAACAAATATTTTGATACATGTACTCTATTTAGTTGGAAAAAATCATTAAAAATTCAAGACACGGCAATATAGTTGACTGATGTGTTCTAAGAGGTACAGCTGGTTGGCTTTATGGGGGCTGGGAGAGGTCAGCATTGCCTTCAGCGTGAGAACGGTGGTAGCACTATGGTCCTATTCCTCACAGCTGTATAGAAAGTTTCAAGGAGCTCTTTTCTGAATTAGAAACCCTTGTACATATGAGGCAGGAGATTATTGCTCCTAATAGTTCCCAGTTATCAGGGGAGTGGAAATCCCAAAGAAGGGAACAATCCTAGATCCTGTGTTGTCCAGAAGACAGCAGTCTTGGGTGGCATTGCATCTATGCTTTGGTTTTGAGCCCATCATTCCTATTTCATACCTTTGCTGCATTTATTTATATTTCCAAGAGGCTTTTACCTCTTCAGAGTCTTTGGATGTCTTTAGAGGCTTTGATGATCTCTGGAAAGTGTAAGAAGTGAGGAATATCAGAGGCACTTCCTGTGCTCAGTGCTGATGCTCAGAGATGCAGCCTCTCCCCTGCTTGGCAGGGGTGCCCTGACATGGTGACAAGCCTGCTCAAAACCCATTGACAATGCTTGTCCAATCTGGGGACACACAGCCAGCTCTCAGGAGATCAGGATACCCACAGACCTCAACAGTGCACCTAGCAATGGGCAGATCAATGCCGCGAGGACTGCACAGATGCTCCTCCACACCCTGGTGCCATCTACCACATCTCCCATCAGGTCGCACAACCATCACTCAGTTCCTCACAGACAAGGCTTGTAGATAACCCAGGCTCTACCCTGTGTGAAAGCACCACATGAACACAACATACCAAGTTCTTAGGAGGTACAAATACGGCCACACAAGACTTCAGGTCAGCAGCTGTTGCAGCACTCCCCTACAAGCCAATGCGTTCTGAATTGTAAGGATTTTAGGCATGTATTTTGCATATATCTGAGCAACAAATAAGCTGTATCCACCCAGTGGGAGACTGGAGGCAACTGACACTTTGTGTGATTTGAGGTGTTTTGTCTTCTGAAACTCAAAATGTAGCTGTGAGCAGTGGAAGAAACAATAGGAAGGTAGTACCACTGCTGAGTTTTAACAAGGACATAAGAAAAATACTCCTGAAACAGGCAGTGTTACAGCTTTATGCTCTTTTTTATGCTCTTCTTTATGCTCTTTAGACTTGCATCAAAGCTATTGCACTAGTTCAGACTGAAAGCCAAAAACTGCAGGTTAGACAAACCCCTGGTATTCACAAGTCCTGGGAAGATGGGCTGCAGTAACCTCCTAAATGAAATAGGGAAGCTTCTTAATGGCTCTGATTATGAGCCAGCAGCAGCTGAAAGGCAAGAGGGCATCATTATACAGGTGAAAACACCAGGGCCCCGGTGCCACAGTAGGAAAAATAATCAGGGAAAGCTTTCTGAGCACAAGCTGAGATGCAGCAACTCTTCCTATGCCACAGCTATTCCTCCCCTTTGTAACCAATACAAGAATCCCTAGTCCAACACAACCATTAGGAACTTCTAGCAATAACGCTCCATAACTGCCATAGGCTGGAGGCCAAAGGCATCTGCCCTGTCCCAGAGATGATTCCTCTACGGTGATACAGACCACAGGTACCAGGTTATTTAACAACACATTGATCACCTTTGAGCTCACTCTGGTTTTGTTCAAATCAGAACACTGATTTGATGGCTCAGGAGAGGAATGAGGTACAGGGCAGTGATTTGTTGGAGGTCACTGCAGAAGGCCGGACCAGTGCTGTTGGGTGGGCTCACTCACACATGCTTGTTCCCTGCTCACACCAGGTCATCGCTGGTATTCCAGCAACACTAATGTACTGTGGATGTCCAACCTCCTTCCATTGCCCGTAAGGCTGCAGGACACAACCACTGTTACCGACTGCCCAGCAGGCAGAGCCTGGAGAGCAGCAGGGCAGGAGCCGTCACCCACAGGAGGAAAAGCAGCTGTGTCCAACCTGTGCTTCACCGAGGCTTAAAGCTCTGCTTCTTTGGGCAACTTCTCAGTCCCTCATGCAACATCTCAGGGACATCTCTGGCTATTCAGGGCCCAGAAAGGCTTTGTAAAGAACCCACTGTTGCCAGGGAAGGACAGCCCATACACAGCAGTGACTGCTCAAGGGAAAAAGACTCAAAAAAAGCCTGACTGCTCCAGCTGTCTTGTTTCAGTGGGGAAAAAGTACACACATGGTTTATTGTCTTTATCAAGGGCCATCCTGTGACCGCTACTACTCCAAGAAGTACTAAACACAGTATGGATCTTGTACTGCATGTTCTAAGATCTGTTCTGTGGAATAGGATAGAAAGCAGAATACAGATAAACAGAATACAGATAAACACAAGAGGATAGGAGCCACGTAACATGATGAAGGTGAACATCTGCAGAATTGGTTTCAAGTGGGTCCCATTTGTTTAAAAGCTAAAGAGGTTTAGTAATTGTCTAGACAATTGAAGGAGGGTTGTGAAGCTTCAGCTGGATATTCTGCTGGAGCCCAGCCCACACACCAGTGTGTTTTATCAAGGGCAGTGAGCAGACTGCAAATGCAGCAGGTTCGTACACTGGATGCTGCCCTGAAACACACCTTAACATACAGAAACCCCTCCCGAGTCTGGGTATGCCCCAGTGTTCCCAGTACTACTTCAGACTTCAGGCAAACAGTGAGAAGAACAAAACCCAGACCACAAATGCAGCTCTTTTGATGGCCAGTGCAAGGACTCCCGGAGCCTGGGAAGGATTAGGAACAGTGCAGAGATAACTGGTCTAGGGTAGGGATGCAAGAACTGGCTGCACAGAAGCACAACTGTCCTGATTCTCCACCTTTCACAGAATCATAGGTTATGGTTGGGAAGGACCTTAAGATCATCTAGTTCCAGCTCCCTTGCACTAGACCATGTTGCCCAAGGACTGTTCCTTGTAGGTGCTGGTGCCTCGAAATCTGATGACTGGTGGAAAACAACCCCTGGTGCCCTGCTTTGCAGATGCGAGGAGAGAGGCAGTACTGAGGCACACCGAGGTGCACAGAGCAGGAGTGTTGGTTGATGAGAAAATGAACATGAGCCGGCTTCAGTGTGCGCTCGCAGCCCAGAAAGCAACCGTATCCTGGGCTGCATCAAAAGGAGCGTGACCAGCAGGTCGAAGGAGGTGATCCTGCCCCTCTACTCTGCTCTTGTGAGACCTCACCTGGAGCATTGTGTGCAGTTCTGGTGTCCTCAACATAAAAAGGACATGGAACTGTTGGAACAAGTCCAGAGGAGGCCACAAGGACGATCAGGGGACTGGAGCACCTCCTGTATGAAGACAGGCTGAGGAAGTTGGGGCTGTTCAGCCTGGAGAAGAGAAGGCTGCATGGAGACCTCATAGCAGCCTTCCAGTATCTGAAGGGGGCCTACAAGGATGCCAGAGAGGGGCTGTTCATCAAGGGCTGTAGTGACAGGACAAGGGGTGATGGGTGCAAACTGAAACAGGGGAAGTTCAGGTTAGAGATAAAGTTCTTTGTAAGTAAGTTCTTTACTGTGAGGGTGGTGAGGAACTGGCACAGGCTGCCCAAAGAAGTGGCAAATGCTCCATCCTTGGCAGTGTTCAAGGCTAGGCTACATGGAGCCTTGGGCTACATGGTCTAGTGGGAGGCACCCCTTCTCATGGCAGCGGGAGTTGGAACTAGATAATCTTCAGGTCCTTTCCAACCCAAACCATTCTGTGATTCTATGCTTCTATGACAGCAGCATGGAGCAAGCTGTGAAAGCCCATGGCTCCTTGAGACCCCATCCTCATGAAGCCATGACCCTCCAGCTCCGTACCTCCCACAGCATCCCCACATCACTGGGCCAGAGAAAGAAAACACAAAGCACGCAGCTAAAAGATACTCACTTACAGTTTATTTTTGCCTGAAATTATTTCACATCTCTTTGTACACAGCTACAGAACAGTAGTAGTAAACCATTGGTAAAAGCAACAGTGCTAAGGAAAATGTTGGCTTAATTTTTCTTCTTTCTAATTTGTTTTAATTCTTTCTTCCCATACTGCATCTTCATACAGCTTGGGATTTGAAGGGGGGGAAACCTGGCACGTTACTTGAGTTAAAATTCAATTCCCCTTTCACTCATTAAAAAAAAAAAAAAAAAAAAAAAGAAAAAAAAAAGATGGAAACCTCATGATTTGGGCAGCAACAGAGGTTAAAAATAAAATATAAAATAAAATAAAACTGAAACCAAACAAAACAAAAAAGAAAACAAACAAGCAAAAACAAAAAACACACAAAAAACCTATAGAAAACAAAACCAAAACAACAAAACCCAAAAGCTTGGCTTCCACTGAATAAGATTAAATATAATATATTTTTATATATAAAAAAAAAAAATGGCTGCATGTGAAACCTTGAGGTGCTGAAGAATAAAATAAAGAAATAAAGGTGTTAAAACAGAAGAAAGAAAACATCATTTTGTTTTGGTTTGCTTTTTTTAAATAAGCAGGTCTGTACAAGAAAGGCTCATTATGAAAAAAAGGAGTCGACAGCGCAGATATAAAAGAAACCACAATTATTAAAAAAATCACCTTCTAAGCAATTGTGGAGTTTGAAAAATGTAGCAGTCACATTACAGACAGGTCAGAGCTATCAGATCAGCAACAACGCTATTTCTTCAGTCTCCCCAGAGGAACATGCAGAACAATGCGTGCACAGAACAGGTAGTGAGGGAAAGGGAAGGGGAGGGGGGGGGAACAGAACAAACTGATGCACAACATGGAGGGAGAGCTTTTTTTTCTCTTTCTGAAATATTGGACGTACACAGAAAACAACAGAGGCAACTTGTAAAAGCTACAGAGTTTGGCGAATACCCTATTGGCAAAATACACGGTATCTCGTTCCTATCCCCACATTTAAACCTGACACAGTTTAAAAGACTAGAAAAAGCTTATAGGCTTCAGAAGGAAATGTGGCTTGTATTAATCTCTGCACCCTTCCCCCTACAGCTATAACCCCATGAGAGATATTTTCCTTCCTACTTGGTAACAGGAAGGAAATATCTTATAACAGTAGAGGCATTTCGAAGTCAGAAAGGACAATGTGATGAATGTTGTGACAGAGAGGGAGTATAATACAGTATGCATTACTGAAAGGCAATTCTTCAAAGAGGACAAATCCTTTAAAAAAAAGAAATACTAGTAACAAGACAGCAAACTAGTTTATACAGTTCTAAACACAAAAAAAAGAAAGAAAAGGTAAAAGAATTAACAACTCATAAATAAAAGACAGGTCCCAGACCTGTTATTTGTGAACCATTTTCTTAAATAGGTGCATAATGTAAATCTTATGTACAAAAAAGAAAAACAACTACTTTGTGTAACAACTGCAGGACAAGGGGGGGGAGGTGAAAATCATACTGGTTTTGGTTTTCTCCTCTTGAGATTTCTGTAAGTTGGATTTTCTGGAGCAGAACTGGTGGCAGAGTTCTGACTACCTGGGCGCCAGCCAAGAAAACCCAGGCAAATAACAACAAACGAATTATTTTTTTCTCCACACCGCATAAAACACAAAGGCAAATAAAACCCACAAAGGTTTTTTTTTTGTTTTGTCTTTTTTTTCTTCTTTATAATCCTCTTGCTGCTACAAAGTTGTTTTTTTTTTCTTTTTTCTTTTTTTTTTTTTTTTTTTTTTTTACTTTTCTATTTAAATTTATGTAGATTCGTGAAATCACAAAGCTGAAAGAATCCATCTGGGTCCAGGCTTGCCCTGTCCCCCCCCCCAACACACACACACACAACACCACTCCTCTCCCCCACAACCACAACTCCTGACACCAAATCCCCAAAACTCACTGCTCTACAGGGATTAGACAAAAGTTATTTCTTAGTTTGTTTTTTCTCTGTTTGTTTTAAAAATCCTTTCCTCCTCGCAAGAAGCAAAAGAGAAGAGTCAGAGGCAGAGATTTCACCACGCTTCGGTGTAGCGGACATCCACTTCCTTCAAATTGGGTAGTTTCGCCTGTGCGGGAGGGTAGGGAAAAGGCAGAATTAATGACATGTGTTTAGGACTCGGGGATAAAGGTCCTGGCAAATCCATACCATCAGCATCCTGGGAGGGTGTCTCTATCGGCCACAAAGTGCAGGGAGATGCACTACACCCAGCAGAGTACAGGTGGAGCACACAGGTGTTAATGAAGGGACAGTGCAGAGCCTTCATGGACACACAGGACCAAGTCCAACTAGTGGCTTTGGTAGCATCCATGCATCAGTCACCAGGTCCAGATCAGGTCTCCTTCATTATACACAGGCTTAGCAAAACAGGGCTTGGTGCAACCTGCTCTAGTGGAAGGTGTCCCTGCCCATGGCAGGGGGTTGGAACTGGATGAGCTTTAATTCCTTCCAACCCAAACCATTCCATGATTCTATGAAAACCTGTCTGTCAAACTGCAGCAAACAGCCACACGCTACTTCTTCAGCCTCCACTCAGTCACTGCTCGATTTTTCCCTCCATGTATTAAAACCATCTGAGTGTGTTTTATCAACTTCTGGTGTCTTTGTAGTCTCCTTTCCATAACCCACTGCTGTTGATCGTATTGTTCCTCAATTACCCTGCGCGAGGCAGAGGCAAATCTGGTGTTTGGAGGGTTCCCACTTGCCGATCCTGTTTCCGTGCTCCCTGACCATAATCGTATAGCTAATTCTCTCAAAACAAACAAACACGTTTAATTAGGCTAGGGCATAATTGAGGAGTTGGAAGTTTCTAGGAGTCATTATTACCTCACTCCTTGATTTATGTGCATGCATATTTTGATAAGAGCTAGTCATAATCCTACAGACACTGCCAGCAAATAATTTTTCAGTTAGGCAATAATGACTTCAGTAGTGGGTGTTTATTTATTGTCTGGTTCAGCCTGCCTGGTACATATGTGGGCGTCTGTGTGTGTGCAAGCGTGTTTAGTGGGGTGAGGGATGGAGAAGGGAGAGGAAATGTCATCACTGGCATGTGCCCCAAGTGCTCTCGCAGACCAAGGGCAGAAGAAGGAAAGATTTGTATCAAAAACGTGTTCTTTGAAGTCTGAGCTGTTCCCAACAGACCTACAACCATGTGCCCCAGGGGAAGAAACTATTACCCTCCCTTTGAACACACACAGAGCTCTGACAAAAATGGCCACTTAGATAAATCTCAATGAAAGAGGTGAGAGGGGGGAAAAAGTGACGCACAAGTTTCCTCAGCTTTTTTAATGCTCTGCAATCATCAGGCCTTTGCTCACAGCCAGTTTTGCTGTTTGCCCTGGCAAGTCACTTTCTCAGTTGCTGCTAAGGACTGTTAATGCAATACCAGAGCAGAGGGAACTGGTTAGGAAAACATGAGTTTCGGTACGAACTTAGCGGCAAAGGGGCTCAGAAGCAGGGGTAGGACTAGGGGAGCATTTCAAGAGACTTGATTTCAGAGCCCTAGGCCAAATGCAGCATTGACCTCGATTGTCTGTAAACGCCTGAGGCCTGATACAAGCTCCATTGTGTGAACCCATCTGCAAACCAGCTGTTAATTCCAAGGGCGACTTCTTTGCATATACAATTGTGACACAAGCTTTGAAAACCTGATCTTGAAAAATCCACCCTAGCAGCATTGCAACCAAGTCCCCAGGGTAGCCCTGGCTCCACAGCCAGAACCAAAGAGAGATGCTGCAGTTTGAAAGCAGAGCAGCTTCAGGACTTGCCTCAAGTTCGAAACTCAACCCAAGTTTGTAAGCCTGGCACAATCGAAGGTTTCAACACACAAGACAACATAATGTTGAGTTTCTCCTTCAGCCCTTGAGTTTATAGGGTAAGACTTTGGGAGATGCAACTCAAGCAACATCAGAGTGAAGCTGAAGTCCACCTAAAGTCATGAAAGCCAACACATCTCAGGCAGTCTTTGCCTGAAACCACCTGGGCTATTCCCCTCCCACAGCTACATTCTAGTTCTTGACACCATTTTGTTAGGGCAGTTGTGAATTCATAGTACATATCTCACAGGTCAAACTCAGGAACTGGACATTTGTGCAGGCATTTCTGTTTAAAGCCCAGGTCCAATCCAAAAGGTATCAAAGATAAACCTGTACCTTTTCCAATGCTTTTAATTCTCCCTTTGCATTCTGCATCAAGGCTCCGTAATGCTGTTCACCCACATTACTTTTGATCCTGTTAAGAGTACAGGACACAGCTCTGGTGGTGTGAACTAGATTCTACTGTACCCTCACCAGAAACAAACAATATGCTCCTGTTTCTGAAATCCTTACTGTTGATAGCACTGGTGAAAAGACTCAGTTTCTGATTTCATCTCATACTCATCTATTCAGCATATTAACTGTTTCCTGAGTCAGTCAAAGCCAGCAACCTCACAATGCTGTTTTCAGTCATCACCTCCCCAAAACAATCCAGTTCCCCCTCTTCAGATGGCTTTCATGCTACCCACTCCGCAGGACCAGTTCTCTCTGCCCTAGGCACTACTACCAGGCACTTGCAAAATGTGCAAGTCCTTGTGGTCCAGCTACTTTTCATCTTTCGTGGGTGCAATTCAGAAATACCTTGAGATCTTCGTAGGTATCTGCTGAAAGTTTGGTGCTGTTCATATTCAGGCTACACAGGCTCTTCATGGCTAAAACAGAAAACACACAGATATTTATGATCATGCTGCATTTTCTTAAAATATCAAGCTTACGGTAGGTCAAAGAATAAACAAGACACGACTGTGTGCGGTGCACTCAGGAAAAAGCTGAATAGTGTAAAATATAGAAGTACAAATGGATAAACAGCTGTTTGGGCCCTCATCCAGGAAAAAGTCCCTATTTAGGAAGGGCCATTAAGCATATGCTTAAGTTTGCTGACTTCAAAGGAGTTCAGGCAACTTCTCATAATCAGTTTCCTGCACATTATTCTGCACAGTGCCCGTTCTCAGCGCACGGTGCACGCAGAGGCCATGCTGATCCAGCAGTCCTCCCTCCCCCCATTTCCATTTTAGGCTCCAGTACTTAGCGGAATAGTTTCCTAAGATGAGCCATAACTACTGGCCTGTCTGGCATGTCTGTGTAGGATCAAGCCTATTAAAGGAGCCCTTTAAACCCAACAGGCGAGGTTTATAATACACTATGTAGGAAAGGGTTTCATTCTGGCACATCGAGCAGCTCGCAGTGCACGGGGGAATCCTGAATGCTGCTTAGATGGCCCTGCTCTGCCTCACCCTATTTAAATAGCAAGAGTTTCACCTCCCCAGAAAGAAGAAACAAAAAAGGGCCACAGAGGGTACGAAACCTGCTGCTCACAGTTGCAAAACTCACTAATAACTTGCTACGTGGTTTTGCAATCTTCCCCTCCTGCATCACAAGGTCAGACTGCCACCTGAGGGGACACCGCACACACAACAAAGCTGAGAAGTCTCAGGGCAACAGGTCACCACGTGAGATTGAGACAAGTGCTGCTGGTAAAGTCAGAGGCAGAGCCAGAGTAGAGTCTTGGACAGCAAAGCCCGCTGAGCACTGGGCTCAGATCATCATCCTGCTTCCCCTGCCTGCAGCTTAACAGCCCAGCCACTTGAGCAGGCAGGGAGGAGGGAAGTTTAAACCCAAACACAACCAAAGCCTGTCCTAAATCCCTGCGGAAGCAGCGCCGTGGCAGCCGAGAAATCAATCTTCTGTCTGAACCCACGTGAATTCCTCCGAACCCATGTCATTTTCCTCTGTAGCTTATTTTGGTCACTTACAACTAAGTGCCAGCAGCCCAGCATCTGTGACAGGCGTCTCGCAGAGGTTGAGCACTTGCAGCATCGTGAGGTGTTCAGAGAGAAGCCGCAGCCCTGCGTCTCCAAACTGTGGGGCAAAAGCAGAACTGCTTTCAAACAGTGCATGAACATCACGTGCGAGCTGCTCAGTGCAAACACGGCACATTGAAACGAGGTTTGCAGATCAGTCCTCAAAGCCACACTCTGATTGTTTACCAGTGTCTCAAATGACAGGAGAGAAAGCAAATAGATCTATCCCTGTTTTTGCAGATGGGGAACAGAAAAATTAAGTGACTTGTGCACACTTAACCGCAGGCCATCATTTAATCAGAATGGTGCCTTTGAAGTCTGGACTTTGTATGAGGGCGTTCCCACCAGGGCTATACAAGATGGTTATGGCAGGCTCAGTCAGTTCCCAACCACATCACAAAACAAGAGCATAATGCAAGTGGTATTAATTAGCTATTTTGGTCTCAAGAACAATGCACTATTGATTGGTAATTGTTCTACTGACCCACTTGGTTTCTGTTGTTGCTAAATCCTAGATTAATGGAAACCAGGATATCACAAAATAAATGGAATTTAAACTCTTTTTTTTAATAATTAAAAAAAAAGATGATACAAAAAGCAGGCTCTTTGTCCAGTAAAATCAAACCCATTTCGAGCAAGAAGCATCAAAGTTTTCAAATCCCAAAGTTACATTGTTAGAACAAATCTGGAGGAGACGCAAGGCAGTGTTCAAACAAGCAAGCAATCAGATTGGACTTCATATTCCCCACACAAAAAAAGAGGAAATTTCTGGGATACAAAAGTAGTTAGGAAAACAAAACAAGATTATTTACATGACATTTGGGTGGGGAAAAAAAATGCTGCTTTTGTGGTTCCACTGAGAATAAACATATTTTCAGTGAGCACTGCAAATAGGTGCTAACAGAAAATGGGGAAAACCTGTTCAATGGAGAACCTCAGAGGCCAAAACCAGCAGGGAAATGTAGAAGAAAAATTTAACTTAAAAAGCTCTTTCAATTAACAACTGAATAATTTATTCAGTTAACTTGGCTTCTTTTTGCTTACAAAATAGAATCATGGAACCATAGAATAGTTAGGGTTGGAAAGGACCTTAAGATCATCCAGTTCCAAACCCCCTGCCATGGGCAGGGAATAACCACATTCTCATTTATAGTTTGCTTCCCACATTCTCATTTATAGTTTCCTTCCATTTATTCATTATTTGAGTTTCTTTTTGTTGCTGTTGTTTTTAAACAAATTCTGGTTGATCAGCATTCAGAGCAGTTCACTGCCTGCACTGTAAAGACTCTGCTTCACTTAACCAGATGAGCTGCACAGACTCCTTTTTGTCACCCCAAATGGGTGAAAGCATAAGTGCTTCTCAGATAAAAAGCAGCACAGCAAAATACACAGTATCAACAACACCCAACTGGAACATCCAACCCAAGCAGCAACTCCTTTATAACTGAAAATAAAATGGAAGAAATAATAAAAAAAAAAGGTGGCAAAGAAAAACCAGCCTCCAAGATGAACTAGACCATAGACAGGCCCTGTAAAAATAGCACAAAGACAAACTCATTCTAAACAAGCCTCTTCACACTCTCTTCTCCTGCTGATGTAATGTGAAATTTCAGAACTAGTCAGCACTGGTTCCTGCTCTGAGTTTCAGTCTGCAAAGCACTTACCTGAGTTGACCACAGGTTCAGCTGCTTGAGAGAAGGCAGTTTAATGAGGTGCTCAGCACAAGCACTTGTCACATTGGTAAAGGCCAGGCTGAGGTTTTCCAGATTCCCAAAAGATCCTGAGCTTAGCAAGCGGGCCAGGTCTGCATCCTGAAAGCAAACCAGAGATGGATGAGCAAGACTATTGACTCCTCAGCCTGCAACGTGCAGCGGTATCACGGATACTGTTAACCAGCAGGAGCTGCACAATTATAAGACTTGTTTACAGTAACAGAGAACCACACAGAGAAGTTTCGGTTTGTTTGGCAGGCAGCTGGGCTCTTGTGGCAGTGTTGCTTTATATACCCTGGGAAAAACTTATCCAGACACGAGGACTGAAGTGTTCTTTGTGTGTGTATCCTTATGAGACACAAAGGCTTCAGTGGGCCTTTTAACTTAATGTTTCACTGCAGGTTCTAGATCCAAACCATACCCAGGACCATCACTTGGCCTCAGTGAAGTTAGTCTGGGTTTACACCAGCCTTAACTGCAACAGTGATAGGTCTCTTGCAGACCTACATGTCTAAGATCCAGAACTGGATATTGTGAAATCTGCTTTTTTTTTAATGCAAAATTCTTCCCCAAAATCTACCATTCCAAATCTGCATGCCAGTATAAACCTGACAGACTGAGGCTTCGACTTCTATTGGAAACTGCTGCATAGGCCCAAGAATGGAAATACACCCTTACTTGTGTAAACTCCAGTTGTGTTGACAGAGAGAGTGCATGACTCCCCTCTCAACTCACCAAAACCCCTGTGCCACATGGCAAATATAAACCAAGTGTCTAAATATGTTAAGATAAAGCTTGTTTCTCTATTGATGTGATTTACTTACGGTGGACTTGGATGGCAGTGTTAATCTTGTGGGACCACCTTTTCTTTGCTGTAAGACAGAAGATATTTTGGTCAAACAAGCTGCCATTCTACATTTCAGACCATCTGAACTCTATCAGGCTCAACACTAGGGCAAACCCTACTCCAATTTCAAAGCTCCCTGCCAGCCCTTCCACTCTGTCCCTGCTCTTTCTGCACTGACAGATTCTTTCCTGAGCGTGCTAGATGCAGGCCTGTTGCTACCCAGGGGACGTCCACTAAATGCAGCTTCATGCTGTGGGTCAGCATTTTGTCTGATTCAGCCTTCCATTACTTGGTTACTTTCACTTTAAAGAAAACTGCCTTAAAATGCTGGGCTAAGATAACAAAGGGGTTGAGGCTGCACAGCTGATAAAATCATTTGTCTGGCTTTAAAAAAAGCATATGCATTTCAGGCAGGGGTTAAAGACAACAAATACAAGTGTGAAAGAGGGAAGATTGTGGGTATGTCTGCATAGGTGAAAAAGTGGTAATGAGAGCACTCAAATTGTAGATCCCATCTTTAAAACTGGGGGGGGGGGGGGGGGGGGGGGGGGGGGGAATCTTTTTCTCATAGGGTCTTGCTCTGAGAACTAGACCTAAAGACCATCTCATGAAATGTTATGAATGTCACAGCATTAAGAAATGCTGGCCAGCACTAGAACCGTTTGCTATTCATACGTCAAAAGGTGGCAGAATTCGACAAGCTGACTTGCAAGATCTTGAGACATCAGGATTTCACCTTCTTTCACACAGATTCTAAGCAGGTTATTGAATATCATTCATAAACATAGTATGGGATTAGACACATCAGTAAATATCACACAGTATATATATTCACAGTAAAATCCTCCAAATACTGCTCCCATCCTGTTGTTAACTGGGAATTTCACACCCTGCTTGTCTTTCTTTTGTACCTCCATTTCTGGAGAGGACAGACCACAATGTGCTATGGCAATACTGCATGCCCGGTGACATACCAGCTCTTTTAACTCCCTCTGCCTGTCACACAGCTGTTCATACATTCTCTTTCCCACGTCTGTGCTTTCCAGGGTAGAGATGATCTGGAGCTGGGTGTCATTATTTTCAATGATGTTGTATTCCAGCATCAGACATAAAATCTAGCAGCAGAAAGAAAGAAGAGTGGTCACCGCAGTATTTATATTCAGCTGGTTCCAAATATCCTAATTACATTGTCCATGTAGTTTAAATTACTTGGGTAAGTTCTGAGAGCACGCATTATTCAGGCTAGATGAGAGGATCACAGCAACCTTTGCTGACCTTCCAACACAAGAAACCAATTTTTATTCGTAAAGAATGAACTCTAATGTCTGAAAGTCAGACTATCTACCCTGTCTTCCATTAGTGCTCATTCCTTCTGACTGAGAGGCGCAATTACTTTGCATCAGTCCTGGAAGATGGATCCATGCCACAGCCTGATTCAGAACAGGTACAATCGATCCAGTATTTCCCAGGTACACTGGCTAGACTGCAGATTGGCACACTTGGGATATCAGCATCAGCACATCAGTAGCAGAGCAAAGCAGCTCCCTAAGTGCTGGATTTTCTGTCCCTAAGCGCAAGCAGAATGCAGGTCCAGTGTATCCTGTCTGTAAGGCAGGTTAAGGAAAGGTCAGGGAGGCTCCAAGAAATGGTGATGCTGGAAGCTTGCTGCTGTGGCCAGAGCACCTTACATCTCACTGGGAATATGCCTCACTCGCCCCTGGGCAAGAGGCTGCCATAGGTGCTGCACAGGAGCAAGTTAGACACCAGGGAATGATTCCAATGGGTTGCATGGGCTTAGGACACAAGCTGCACCCCTCATGCTGCCCTGCCTTTCCAGCCACACATCATGCCATTGCAATTAGAATGCAAAGCTTTTATTCCCTGCATCATTCTAATTACCTTTAATAAAAAAAATCAAGCAAAATTATATTCAAATTCACACAGTGCACTCTGTTATTTACTGGATTAAATTAGCACACACACAGATCTAGCTCAAGGAAAAACTGTAATTTCTTCCACCTATTTAACCATGCTCTATTTCCATTTAAAATGCATGATGGCATTTATCAAGAAAGATCTTCAAAGAAACCCAGAAAAATATGTTTAAACTATTAGTGCAACAAAAATAACCAATCATAGGCACACAAAAATCAGTTTATTAATGCAAGTAAATAAGGTTTTGTAAATGCAGTACTTACGCATTGTTCATTTTGCACGTGGCAAGACAAGCATCAGGAATTTAGTCATGGAAAAGCCTTGTGGTTCTGAGTTCTGACCCCTCACCACAGACTACATTATCATGGATGGCCATTTATTTCCCAACTTAGCCCCTCCAATTGACTTAGAGCAAACAACCTCTCTCCAAATATTCTTGCACTCACTGTTCATATAATTTGCACTGCAGAACAACAATATTCCATTATGCTTGGTTTCTACAGTTCCACTAGACCTAATTCTGGGAAAGGCAGTGTGAAACCTGAACACTGCTCATAAACCATAACCACATATGTTTAGGGCTTACCTCAACCATTGTCTGGTTACCCCTTAAGGCCAGCAGCATGCAAGGTCCCAGTTTATTTTCAGCCAGCGAAAGCAGAAACTTCTTTGTTTTATAGCAGGATCCCATTAAAATATGCACCTATTTGAGAAACAGAGTTAAATTAGAGGCGTTAGCCTAAGAAACATATGTACCTCTGGAAGCGACATTGTTAGACAGTCACACAAAACGTAGACAAATCTAAAGAAAAGGGGTCCCTCATTACCATTATGGTTGCAATCTCTCAACAGCTTTATTGCTGATTGGAAGTGATACCTAGTGAGATCTGAGGGAGTGGGTAGTTTTCCTCCATGAAGGAGCGCAGCTGACAGAGGCCTGATACAGGCTCCCCAGGAAACATCAAAGCAGCTGTGCAATTGTCCCCATCCCTAGTAACACAATGAACCCAGCCCCAGGGGAACCACAGGAGACTCTTCCTTCACATCTGTTTGCAGTCCAGTTTCTCTGGAAGTGGCAGCTGGTGAGCAAGGGCTGTGTGGGCTGGATGCCTAGGTAAAAGGCAGTGGTGCTGGCTGAACACTAGCCTTGGTTCAAGGGTGGTGACAGACAAAATCACCTGTTTGGAATGAGCAGACAGGAACTGACTGGGAAAGGAAGGAATGCCTTAAGAAAGCAGTCCTGAGCCCTAAGTCAGAGATGACTTCATGTGCTTTCACATGCTCTTGTGTCATTATCTTGCTTTCTCTCTTGCTCAGTTTTCTCTGAAAGGAAAGAAATGCTGAGAACACTGCCTGAGTAAAACTCTCTTGAGTCCACTAGTTGACAACACTGTCCCGCAGACTTCTACCTCCAGAGAGCATCGGATGATATCACATAGTAACACCTATGGCACAAATGCAAAGCCACTTTTACAAATGAAACGTTAAAGAGTCTCTTCTCACAAAAGATACTGGCAATATTCTCTCCCATTGAAAAGCCCTAGAGATTAGCTGCAGACAATTTCAGTTTCCCAGCTAAAGTCCTATTTTATGGCCCAGACAGCTGATTCACCAGTTTGCTGGCAGACCACTGTGTGACAATTTGTAGTTTCCAGTGACCTGGGCAGTTAAGAGCTCCATTAACTACAGTTAAGTCTACATTACAATAAACTTGTAAATACGTTCTGTGGTTCCCCTGGTTCATAGTATTGCCTGGACTATGTTCAACACTGCTGAAAATATCACAACCACGCCATGGTGGGGTCAGTTCTATGCAGATCATGTGCTACCATGCAATTCTTCTTCCTCGTGGCTTCATTACCAGCAAGGCCTTTAGAAAAAACACAAAATATTTTCTTAAGCATCCATGTTTTTAAAGGTATCCTTTAAAAACAGTAAGCTTAACGCCAAGAAGGATTTCATTTCATGCAGTTATCATTAAACTTTTTAGGAGGTTTTCTTCAGTGATAGAAAATACTGATGCTACCACTTAACGCAAGGTCCATCTGTGATCAGGATGTTTTCCATACTTTAGTTGTTAGCAGCTCTTTAAGTATTTATCAACATCCTTGCAAAGGGCACAGAGTACTGCGTATTGATGTATGTTAGCACTGTGCTCTCATGCACGCCACCTCCTGATGCTCATAAATATCGCGGACCACAAAAGCTCTCAGGAGAAATTATATCATTCTGAAATTTTCTTTCCAAACATAAAAGACAGAATCAGTAAAGAGGGATGAAACCTTCTGTGAACAGTCTTTGTCCATTACCTGTTTTAAAGGTATCTGATCCATCTGGATTAAAGCATATAGTAAGTTTTAAGTGCAGAAACAGACGTGCATGTTCAGCATGAGGGAGATGCACAAAGTATAGATCCCCCTGAAAGTCACTCCACTGTACACCAACAAACATTATTCCCCTTACCAGGGAAAGGAAGTAATACCATTTCCATCTTATTTGGTATATGGAGAATTAATAAACATCAAGACTTACGTGACTTGACCCAGGCTGCACAGGAAGCCAGTGGCAGCATCAGCGATTAAAACTTATTATTTTCTGTCTAGTCTTTCTGAGAGTTACAAAAGAAATAACTACTAAGAAATAGAATGCTGGTTTCTAATTATACGTCCCCACAACAATGTAATTGGGCAGAGAAACTGCTAACATATTTTTATATCTATATATCCACCCTTTGATTAATTCAATATTACTGCTGGCTTTAAATTCCAAGGTAGCCTATCAATGAAAACTATAGGTGTGGATGTGTGGAACAGTCTGTTGCACCTGCCTCCCAGTATTCCATATTCTGAAAGAGTTCTTTATACAGACAAACACATGTATTTATAAATACAAAAATACATATGCACACACACATACATATACACATGGTTCTGTGCACTACACAGTGCAAAAACAACCGAAGTTCAAGAAGAGAAAGCTGACATATTAGCCAAATTGTGATTGCAAGGAATTTCAATCGCTTTGGTGATATAAAGATTTAGCCTGGTGTGTACTTGTAGTTTACAGAACCATGACAAAACCGCATTACTTACTGCAAAGAAGTTACTAAACTCACATTATGGCAGACACGTACCATACTGGCAAACAGCTCCCCATCATCATCACATGCCACTCCACCAGGGCTGTAGAGCTGGAACCAGCCGTCCTTGCCAGCCCGCACACTCAGCAAGCATGAGTGGACCTGCCAAAAAGTGAAGACATTGGGAAGGTTACAGTTCCTGCCAGTAAGCACGGGTGCCTCCCATGCTTGGCCAAAAGAAGTCACTATAAAACCAGGGTCTGCTGGAAATCCACGGTTAATATTCCAATCTACAGAGCTACAGGCAAGTCTCCACTCACAGAATCATTTCTGCAGTACAAGCAAGGACGGAAGCTGTATCATCACTCATTGCATGGCTTCTTTCATTCCCTTTACACAAATTTGCTCTGATCTAGAACAACTCCTTTCACTTGAAAAACCAAAACAAAAACCCCATCCCCAAAAGAAATAAAACAAAACCACAAATGAAAATGAAACAAAAAGACTGCAATTTCTGAGCTTCTGCCATTTTCCCCCCATTGTACCGCCATGTGTGTCTACACTTCTGATGTGATCTGCACACCAAATGCAATTGGCTAATGGCTTGCTCCTTCCAATCATTAAAAAAATCTTATTACTCCTGCTATAATAAAATGTGACCAGAGTCAGGGTGAAGGAAATCCACAAATTAACAGGAATACGTAAGAAGCTGCACTGAAGAACTGGCACTAGCAAGCTACCATTAGTCTAAATTTGGCCCACTGTAGAGATTACTGTATCTGTTCCCACAGCTTAATAGAGGAGTCTTAATTAAGGTTTTCTCCAGCTGATGATGTTGAACAAGCTACACGTGCAGCAGTCAGCCACCATGAGGCTACAGCTATGCACTCCTTCCAGTAACACACCTCCCACCCCCTTTCTCCTGCTAATTCATGGGAATTACGGTCATTTGCACACAATGTGACTGAAAAGCAGCCACATAAAACCTGTCATTTCACAAGCTGTAAGGGTCCCTGGATTTTGCTTTCCTTTTTTTTTTCTTTTGTACGGAAGAAAAGCCCTCAGAGGTTAAGAGTGGGAAGATCTTACTGGTTGCAGTTTACTGCAGAGCAAGGACAGCAACTGATACCAGACAAGGAGGTCACAACACATTTATACATAAAGCCAGAAACCATTCATATTAACGCCGTGTGCCTTGACCGGCTATTACTCCCTAAGCAACATAAGCACAGCAAAACCACACCATCTTTTGAAACAAACTACTTAAGGAGAGATCTTCAGAACAAGCATTCTTTCAGCTCCCCCTGTTAATACTCTGTGTAACCTGTCAATAGACTCACTTCTTGCCTCAGGTCTTCTGCAAATCTCTGAATCACATATTTCAGCTCCCTGGGGGAAAGAAAAGGTAAAAGGACAAGAATAAGCAGCTGCTGGTTGCAGTATTCACGTGAGTGTCACATTTCTCTTCAATTACACTTTAAACTATATATATTCATGCACTTTACAGAGAAACAAGTTGAACTGCTTCCACAGGAAGGAAATGTGAGGGCTAAAAGTGATTACCAAGGACACTGTCTGTTCACAATAGCCTAGAAAAGGTTTCAGAGACATTACAAACACGTTTGTAAACCCTATCAGCACTCAGTGCCTTTAGCCCTTGGGATACTGCTGCCACAGTAAATTACAAAGAAAACTACATCTTTTTATTATCAGCAGAACATGCTTACGGCCCCTCACAGGTAAAAACATTAGAGACACAGTACTGAATAATGAACCATTGCTATTATTGACCAGTACAAGTATTTTAAGCAACTACCCCCCTTCAATAAAACAAGCAAGCCCCCAAAACTTACTTTGTAAATTTCTCATGTGCAAGAGCCCTGAAATTTAAAACAGAAAATCATGAGGATTTGGGAGAAGGAAGGAAGGAAAAAAACAAAGAAACAAATGGAAAGAAGGATGGAAGGAAGGGAAAACAGAAACAAGAAAAAGAAGAAAAAACAAACCAAACCAAACCACAACCACTACTCAGCTCTTTCCACATAATAAAGGATTTGCTAAGATACTGCAGCACACAAGACAAAAAGAATAATCTTTCCAAACAGATCAGGTAAAGTCTTCTTCATTAATCTACGGGAGAAAACGAACGAAAACCAAAATATTACTTGGAACAAATCTTGTTGCTTTTCCTGAGTCCTGTCTAAGGACTTAGACTAATGGCAGTGAAAGCTTTGAGTCAGAAGAAAGCTAGTAGAAGACTTACAATAAGGCTGTATCATTACAGAATTTTGGCTACCTAGAAGGGTCAAGTGAATTCTTTAATTGCAGTGCAATTATAGTATGGTCACAACTAATTAACACCATGCATCAATAAAGCAATTAGCGGTCATTCTGTGAAGTGCCTTGCATTGTGGTATGGTTTACACCTCCCCCAGGGCACATGTTTGATTTAGGCAAATGATGCCTCTGTTGCCTATCTCCAAGCTCTCGCTGTAGCCCAGGTAACTCCGCACGGAGGATTAGACCTCTCTGATTCAAGACATCAGGTCATTAGGGGATGTGATAAGCTAGCAAATTGTACAATTACAGGTTGTAATGGTTGTCCATGGAGGTCTGCATTTTATAAACACTACTGCTCATTAATAGGTTTCCGAGGAAGCTTGGCTGATCCGTAGGGTAGCTTCTTCATTTAATGCAAAATACAAACGATATAGGTCTCTGTGACAGCAGTAAAGCCACCTCCTCCACTGAATCTCTCACTCTGCTCTTCTCTGCACCAGCTTTCCTTCCTTTCCTGTCTGCCTGTCTGCAGTTAACCATTTTTCTCTTCCACATCATCTTAGAGACATGGCAAGGGAAGATGAAGATGTCCTTCTGCCTCGAAGTAACTCTTCATTTTAAATCAACACTAGAGGCACAAAGCTCCTATTACCATCAGTTTTTACTTGACGTTGTATTTCACCATAAAACAACAGTAATAAGAATATCTCAGTAAATACTAAGAGTGCAAACTTACTCCTTTGGAAATGGGATAGGTTGAAGCAAGCTGGCAAGGGCTGGTCTCCAGTCATCATAGTCTGACCTGAAAAATGAACATTCTGTTAACAGGTTAGCAAGTTTTAAACATGGTGTGTCAACAGTTAGTTCAGAAAGTTTGAAGCTAAAGTTGGTGCAGGCACCAAAACCCTTCTGTTTTACTGAGACACTCAAAAGATCCACAGTGACATTTCCCTTTGAATTTCCAGCACATTCTCGAGTGAGGCACAATACATCTGGTATTCACAATGATTTCCAGAGAGTCACTGTGACTTCATGTTGATTTTATGTCAACTTAAAGAGTTCATGAAACCTGTTGACAATTAATCACTAAGTAATACTTTCATCTAAGTTGGTACAGCAATTACCAGGCCATTGCTATTTACAGCTCTGCTCTGCATTTAATTGGAGTTTTTTTATTTTGGAGTGGTTTTTTTTTGCTATAATACATAAGCTCATTTGTAGAAACAAACATACCCCCCAAATCCATTTTGACCTTGGCACAAAGAAATGGGTCAATTCAAACAGCACAGAATCTTTAGCTTAAGAGGAGAGGGACAAGTGAAGGGAACGCTGTGATGAGGAGTATAAGAGGATAAATGAAGATAACCAGAGCAGAGAGCAAAGGCCAGTGGACCCAGTATGAAGTGTCTGTTAGCACCACAGCTCCCAGCTAATGCGTTTTGTTTTCATCTCTGCTGTCAGTATACAGACAGTATACAGTACACTGCATACTGCAGACAGTGTACAGTATACAGACCAGTATACATGCGGGCAAGGTCTGTATGGCTCTGAGGAGCCATCCATAAGGGCATGTTCATGTAAACTAGGATAAAGAGAATGTCCTGCATGCACTGGCCACTGCAAACTAATCTGGGCAGCATATCATCTCAACCTATCTGCAAAATACCAGCTGCTTGACCACACCTGGTAGAGCAGGTACGGCTTCTCGTGCAGCAGTAACACTTAGCATACTGCCATCCCTCTCCTCCAAATGATCTCAAGCATTTAGGGGTTAGTTAGCACTTACTAACTGCCCTACCGATGCACTGCATGAAAAGTACAATCATTGCAGGATGGATGAAGGATACAGAAGGTAAGAGAATTGGAAAAGTCAGCACCAAAACAGGGCCAGCCAAAGCCCAGATCCCAGCACTGCCTTGTGAGGCCATTCTCACTCCAATTTATACTAATGAGTACACACTGAAGTAAGAGCAGTAAATCTCATATAGGGTGAAACACTTTGGGATGTCTGTAGAAGGCAATGTACAAAGCCTACCACCTCCTCTTACTGCTGCTACCCTTTAGATTTCAGTTTGAAAAGTCAGATTATTGGCTGCAACTTATGGAAAACTTGGCTCAAAAGTATGGTGTTTCTTTAGGATAGAACGAAGTGTAATGTTCTCAAATGGACAGTAACTACTGATAGCATTAGAAACAGACAACATATGCACAGGAACCATTCCAAAATAATGCTTTTTTTTTTTTTTGCAAAGAAAAGGTTCTATCCCAGAGAAACTGAAGATGGATGCATTTCCAAAAGTCTCATCCATTTATAGAACCACAGAAACCAGAAGTTTCTATAAATTAATAATACACATTATGTTGGACAGTCCACAAAGGCATGTTCATGGACACAAGGAAAACTTATGTGCATGAGTAGAGTATTCTTAAGGAGCAACATCAGTGCTGGCTCTTGAGTCCTCAAAGAACTGACAAGTCTAATGACTTTCAATAAATATACCTCTGGAAATTCCTACTAAACTTGTGGCCAATTTTACTCTAAAACCAACACATTTTTATTGATAGATGCAAACAACTTTCAGAACAGGCTATTGTTCTTTAAGGAGAGAAAAGGCTGAGTTGGGAAATTCAAAGGTGTTAAAGGTGTTTCACATCACATGCGATACAGTACCTACAAATCTTGCCTCTAAGAAGCCTAAGAGCCACCTGGAAGCTTAGGTCCTGGGACATCTCAGATTAGTGCTCCACCACTAACGTTCCTCCTTGAGCAATATGTGGAGTTCTGATCAGTAATAATGTGAACCAATCAGTTTTTCATGGATGATCTTCAAAGGAAATTGCAAGAGGAATTAAAAAGCTGCTTTGTAATAGACTAAGACCAAGTGAAACTGCAGACAGAATTGGACAGTATCACACCCTGACTTTTCTTGAAGCTGGGAGTTATGTGTGGCACGTATTTGCAGAGTAGGTCTGTGAGAGGACAGTGATAATAAACTATAGCTCGTTTTCCTAGGAGGAGAAGAAAGGAAGAAAACTGTGTCCTGCGAAACAAGCAGAACTTGGTCACATGAATGGGACCCGAACATAACATCTACACAGCCTGTAATCCCTTCAATCTGAGCCAGGAAACATGAAACAAACATAGCACAAGAATAAAACTAAACTACTTATTAAAAGCCTACGGTGTTTCTCCTCCTCCCACCTATTCCCTTTTCAAAAACATCTTCCTTCTGTCTGTGCTCATCTCATTTGCACTCTTCTTTCACTTCAGACAGTCGCTTTTTTTCTTTTCTCTTTTTTTTTCAACCCATTCAAAGCTCTAGCACAAGAAGAAGTGTTTTGAAGCGGGGAAAGAAAGGGAGATAGATTAGCTCTGGCTGCAGTTAACAACCACTGCTACGAGCTAGACAAAGAGGCCATGCCAGGAAGAGTAGGGAGCACCTGTGACAAACTCCTTTTGGAGCTCTTCAAAGGGTGCTGGGCTGAACGCTCACACTAATACACAGCTGAAATCCCAAACTGGCCTTATAAGAGGGGGAGAAGGACTCCCTGATGTATTCACCTGGTCTGATTTGCTCTTTTAAGGTGAGAAGCACCATGTGCTGGTAGGTCAGGGTGCCAAGTGGGTGAAGGCTGTCAGAGCAGTCACCTGCTGCTGCACACAGCTTTACTTACCCAGAAACCTACGTTGGCCAGAACACTGGCTTAACCATAATAATTAAGCCCCAACTGCAGTGACTTCGCCTCTAGGCCATCGTCGCTATTGGCCTGCCAACATAATACATTTTCCTTCCCCGGGATCACCTTTCACCAAAATGAAAACCTGCCCGTGTGTCCTGTGAGGCACAAACAATCCAAAACACACTAGCAACCCGGGGCAACCCTGATAAACATGACATAAGAGAATCCACTTGGGATATTCAGAGCATGCCACTGACCTATCGGGGAATGCGGGGAAGGCAGGGGAAGCTCCAGTGAGTGCTTGCATTTGGAAAGCTGTCAGTCTTAACACCAAGAGATTGCATGCCCAGAGCCCTCTGTTTTTAGAGGGCAATAAAGACACAAAGAGTAACTATGTGGAAGCAGCTTGTTTTTCCAGCTTGGCACAATCAAAAATCTTTCAGGTAACTCCTCTGTTATCAGCAAATAGTAAGATGACCAAGCCCTCCAGACATGTACCTTGTCCCTTCTTTCCCTTGCTCTGTACCAAATTCCCTACCAGACCCCCTGTCATATAAGGCATAAACCTGCTATCTGCAAAACAGTGAGGCTTCTTTTTATGTCCAGCCTTCTCTGAGCAGGACTTCCTTGTTTTTCAAAAGAAGAAAACGTAGAACCATAGAAAGGCCCTAGACAGGTCCCGTCCTGGCTGCTGAGAACAGAAAAGGGCTCTTCCAGATGCCCAAACACTTGTACCCCCCTCTTGGGTCTTTGGGACCAGGGTAAAGTTGGCTCCTTGGGCAAACTTGCATTGCTGTTTCCTGATGCTATTACACTGTGAGCAGTGTAGGTCTGTCCTAGTCCAAGGAAGAGGATCCACAGCCCCTTTTGCTGCAAATGTCAGTACAGCTGTTCAAGCACAAGTTTGGCTGTACAAGGAATTCTCTAATGCATGGAAACATTAACATGCAAGTAGGCGCTGGACAACACTGAGCATCTCTCAGATCCTCTAATTTAATGTGATGAAACAAAAGATTTCAATCAATTTACTGTATTTTCTACAGACCAGTTTAAGACTTGCAGCATTCAGGAGGCACTGACTGGCATCAGTAACACTATCAGAGTCCAGATGCATTAGAGAATATTGACAACAGAAGTTTGATTAACTTTTGAGCGCAGGACAAAAATACCATGTTCTACTAGAGACTGTCTCCCCTTTAAAATCTGCCCTGACTTTGCGTCATCTGCCAGCATCCTTAAAGCCATCATTTTCTGGTCTCCTTTAGTATGCAATAGCTATGTTCTGTTACTCAGCTACATTAGAAAAGGGTCAAAGACGTTCTTGGTGAACTGGTAACAGCCACAAAAATGAACTTGATAATCTGTACGATTACCCTTCTGTGCAAAAAGTGAGGTATTGCAGTGATTATTAAATAACTGCTGCTACATTTTTATCAATATTAGAAGAGCTTTTTTTTCCCCAAAAAAAGTAAGTATTGTGTAGGAGTCCGGAGAACAGTAAGATGTCCTCTGCTGAAGGTACTCTTAAGAATCCTTATTTACTAGACTTTCAATAATTAAAATCTGCCTAAATAAATTACTCCCTGCTGTCCTAAGTTAATTATGTAAAAAAGATATCATTGTTGGTGACTCTCTTGTTTTGATGATAATATTGAGTCAGACACCTAAAAGAACAATTAAATTCAATGCTAAACAACTTATTTATGTTTGGCTTACCACTGTTATTAATTACAACATTATTTTAGTGACTGCCTGCTGAGAGCTCAGCTAGTGGATAGCAGTGGTCTTGTAATTAATGTTTTCTTCCTACTGGCATGTTCTGCGACTCTCTTTATAGTCTCAGTTTTTCTAAGTACAGTAATAGTATTTAGAGCATCAGAAAGCCATCGTTCAAGAAGAATCTGAGCATGCAAGGAATAAGCATCACAACAGCATCATCTTATATTTTTGTTAGTAACTACCAGCCCTTCTACAATGCTTTTTTATCACTGGTTTAAGAGTTTAAAAATCAACATTCAAAACCTTTACTTGTATTTTAACAGTAAGGAAACTAAGGCACAAAAAGAAGCAACTTATTTAAAGCCTTCCAGCAAACCAGTAGCAGAATCAGGAGCAGGACTAACTTCTGCATTAATGCTTTCAGGTCTGAAAAAACCCAAGGGATGAACAAGAATGGAAGGGAACCTAAATCAGTGGCTCTACCTTAGAAACCCATGCTGTATTCTCATAGGTTGTGACTTCTCAAGCAGAAGGTGGACTCTGGCAAGCCAGCTGAGGAAAGCTGCACCAATTTTGTAGTATCTCTGGTCCTTCACTATACACAGGTATTCTGTATACACAACCTGTGTGTACAGAATTACCCTTGTACAAGCCAGAAAATGGCACAAAGCTGCTCCCTACCTACAACCTGTAACAACAACACTGTTTGTGTTGTTTTTCACGGTTGGTATTGAAGAGCTTGACTTTTAAAAAGACACCAAACACAGCCAAAAAAATACCTTATTTTAAGGTACAGAGTGAAATAAAAGTTCTTAGTGCAGGAAATTACATGGGAATTGACACCTGGCATATCAACTGTTTAAAATGTGGAGAGACTGTGCAGAAGAACATGCCCATTCCTGAATCTGTAAGTGTGTGTCAGCTGCGTGATGAAACCGTCAATGCCTAGTGAGTCAGCATGCAAGCCAGCATCAGGACTGAGAGAGTTCATAGTGTTTATAGAAAACATCTAGAGTCAAGGGGACAGGACTAAATACATGATGTGTTTAATGTAGCACCTGGGCGTGTGAAGCCACCAGATGAAGTGAAATCAGATGCTGTGCTATTTCAATGCGAGGTTCTCTAAAGACAGAGGAGACTAGGCCAGGGAAAATAAATTAACAAAACCAATTAGCCTTCAGCAACTTCCTGCTCAAGAATCTAATGGGAACAGTATCTTGGATTCACCTGTTCTACCTCCAGTTCTGTATGTGTGCTTATGGATGCATTTGCAGTGATTTAAAGAACTGTGTTGCAGATTCGTAGTATATATCTTGAAAAAAAATGGAAGCATGGAATCCTTGATCGCTTAAAAATAATTAATGTAGACATACAACAGTTTTGCCCAAAGGCATACTGCAACTCAGTAGCAGAGCTGGCTGTCAAAGCAAAGAGAGTTGTTTTGGGGTTGTTTTAGTGCAACTTTATTACAGGCTTCCATTCTGCAGTCCACCTTTTGTTTTTCTCCTCTGAATTTATTTATCCAGGAGAAAAACAAGCTTTTCCTGAAGAACTCTTTATTTTACGTTCCTTCTGAAGATACTGAGAGGATTTGCTGCCCAGGAAACCACAGAGCCATCAGTTTGTAAAGGCTATTTGAGCATTTGTTCACTAATAGAGGTCTGCCGCACGAAAGCAACTGGTTGACAAACACAGGCTCCACTCCAATACAAGTAAATCCAAACAAGTCATAAAACCTCTACAAAAAAGTGAAGAGAAAACACCTAAGTGGAAGACAAGATGCTGACCTCAACCAACTCCTGTTGAAGGCAGGGGAGCAGCGCTGCCTATCACTGCACAAGCACTGTGCCTAGCACAAACCTGCCTTTTTCTAGCTCTGTCTTGGGCAACCCCAAGAGCCCTGGAGGAGGCCAGTGGATGATTTTTTTGGTGGGCAAGAACAAAACAGAAACCACTGACAACAACATCCCATCTTCTGTAACATGCCTGAGGCTCACTGTACAAATAAGCTTTCCGTTTTCATCTTCCCAATGCTATTTTTAGAGCATATTGGCAGTGCCAGATGTCCCTTTCAAAGGCTGGACTCTTCAGAGCTGGAGTTAAGATTTATAACCATGCATTTGCTGGCCAAAGATGCTGAAGATGACAGGCCTGTGGGAAAAACCCCCCATTGTTAAGATGACATTGTTTGAAAAGCTGTTTAGAATAGTTACTCACAGCATCTTGAGTATTTCAACATAACAGCCAAGGATCCTGTCTGCCTGGGCACTCAGCTCAATGCTCATGGTGCTGCAGGTAGGACTGACCATCAAGCAGTCAATCAGGTTGGGCTCGCTGTCATTGCCAGCATTGGCTGTCATCTTCTGATTAGCTGTGTTGGTGCGCTCCATTTCCACGTGGATCTCATTTGAAGTAACAATAGGTGGTTTGGTGCGAGATTCAGTCACGGTGGCCTCTTGAGAGACCAGATCAGGACTTGTATGAAGAAGGCGGAGAGGCAGATTAGGCTTTCGGTCACACTGCTGCTGGCATCCATTCCTGATTTCCTTCAGGCTCGGTGAATTGTCTCGGCTGAATTTTAAGAACAAACAAATAATTTCAATGTACAAACAATAGCAGCAGAGCAGGAGAGAGCGTTCAACACTGAGAAAACAAGATCTTTGGCAATTTCCCACTGCATTTCACCCCAGCCCACTGGATTGCTTTCTTCCATGTAATTGGATTACTGCAATCAATTCAAAACATTAAAAAGCTCCAATAGGACTGCTCGGCAGTCCCTATTCTATAAAGATTCAAGCTTTTCATTACTCTAATTGGCATGTCAGTTTAGTATAAAGGTGAACTTTCCTATCCAAGTTGTGCAAAGCTGTAACAGAACCCATGCCCAACTATGTATCTGGCTACAGCACATGCCCAGACATTTGTCTGCAGCCCTCACGTCTGGAATTCCTGTTGGACACTAAGCAGCTCCTGTCCGTGCTCTACCACGAGGGAAGTCAGATAAGCATAAACAAACAGGAAACACAGCAGAGGGGAACCCTCAGTGTCTACTGGAAACTGGCTCGTGTGCCAAGAGCTGTGGCATCTATTTTGTGGTTAGTCAGGAATCAAGTTTTCCAGAATAATGGAGACAGCATTGTGAAAAAAGCTCATGCTCAGAGCTGTAGATACACAGGGATTTACACACCACCCCTCCTTCAAGACCTCAGCCTTCTCTTTGCTTTAGGTGTAACATGCACTTCATACGCCAGAAACGGAGCAAAAAAGCCACTGCTCTGGGTAGTGCTTGCTTCCCAGAGACTGCTGTTGAGCACTTTCATCTGCTGCAGGCCTGAAAAGGCTGGTTATGGCTATGGCTGCAGCCTGCCTTAGAGGAGCATCTCAAGAGTGGCCAAGCTCAGCAGGCAGCTGGCTGTTGAACTTCATCCAGGAAGTTACTGCAGTACTTCTGTACCGGGAAGTGACGAGCTCCTTGCAGCAACACTACTGTCCCCACTTGCAAGCATGGGAGCTAAAGATGTGCAATAACAGATTGCCATGTTTGCTGCCCCCAAACATGCCACAGTGAGTACAAGTGAATAAAGGCTCAGCATCTTTCAGGTTTTCAAGCAAAGAGCTTGAAATACAATCACCTATCTCCAAAACCACGCATGTGATTGACCAGAACCCCCAGACGTAACGCTAGCAATGAGGAGACACGCTCTCACATACCCACACCGATCGTGTTTACAGATGCCATGTGCTTGGAAGTAATGTGCAGTCAGCTGGGAATTCATACTGACCTGTTGATAAATTCCTCGTAACACGAATAAATGGCTGCTAAGCAGACAGCTACAAGATTTGGCAGGACCCTGGGGTGGGGGCATTGTCCAGTTGGACCATGCATGCTGAAAAACAAACACCAAGGTGACATCATTGTGAAGACTTCTGTGGGCAAAACCAGTCAGACAGAATGGGGTGCCAGAACTGGATGCACTGCCTTGGGGAAACTTCATAAGGGCAACAGGAGAGAGTAATTTTAACCCTCTAAATCCCTTGTTTATGAAATGTATCTCCACAGCCCCCCCCCCCCCCCCCCCCCCCCAAATTTCACCATGACTGAGTATTATGTGGTCTCAAGTTAATGGGAATCTCTCTGGAGAGCTCTGAGTCTAAATGCATAAGAAGAATGCACACACAGCCAAGTCCATGTGCTTCCAGTGTGCAGCTAAGCAGAAAACCCCAGCCTTATTTGAGAATTAGTTTTAAAATAAAATAATGAAAAAGATACTTCAGCAACATTGCCTCAAGGACTCTTCTGATTTATTTGCTGTTTGCCAGTACCAAAAAGCACCAGCTACTCTTAACAGCCAGAAAAGAGAAGAGCAGGGCTGTGAGAAGTAACACAGGTAAGCACATACACAGAACTTGAAATATACCACATATTAAATGTAACTAACCTATGAATAAACTTCTTCACCACCTCCATTCCAGCATTCAGCTCATTCAAAGCCAGAATATACTCCTGAGTAAAGAGCCGCAAACGAGGGCACTTCCCAAAATCCTGTCCGAAAAGGAGAGACTCAGTGAAGATGGTGAAACATGCCCGCAATGGACGTCAAAACTGGGCTTTCAAAAGGAATGAACTCAAAACACAACCAAATTCACTTTGTGCTGTTGTCGTGGGTTAAGCCCAGCCAGTAACTCAGAACCACAACAATTATGCTGACAGCTTCAAGAGCACTGTGTCACTCCATGCTGAAGTAGTGTTCTTCCCGCTAATAACAGTGTGCTTACCAATCCTCCTCTTTCCCCCATACCCACCTTGAAACAAAAAGACATGTTTAGTGGAACAAAGCCCTACCTACACTTACATTTCTTTTGTACACTTCACTTTACACCTTCAGTTTGAAATGTATTTTTTTGTTGTTTTGCATTTTTCCTTACATAACTCCAAAATTTTTTTGAAATGCAACTCAAAAGTCATTTTTTTACTTCCATTTTTCATATTCTGTCTATTTGGGATTTTGAGAAAACATTTCTGACATGCAATCAGTAAGTGATCAAGTATAAAACCAGAGACCAGCTCTTTCTCCAGTGGTCTTACTCCAGGTATAATGTGATTTTGACAGATGAGCTGACTTTCTCCTAATCCTGCAGTCAGAAAAGCACCTGCTATCCAAAATCCCTCATCTCCACATATCATTTGCTATTTTTAGGATAGAAAGGACTAGAATCTACTGTCTGGTGACTGTTCCAGCACATTCTTCACAGTTACACAGGTGTAACCTTATTATACAGCTGTTACTTAACTACAAAGATGTATATAAAGCAGTCAACAAGGCCCACTGAGGACAAACGAGCCCTCCCAGTTATCCCTCAAGCAGCCGACTGTTGAAGAAGAGTCATCCTGGGAAAATAAATGGCAGGTCCCTTCCAACCCTAACCATTCTATGATTCTAACTGAAACTTACAGAAATGCCACAAGTGGTAACACTGGAGGTCTGTAAAAGGGAGGATACACTCTCAAAGCACTGAAACCTTCTGTTCCTTATTTTAGTTTCAGGCATTTCTATAGCACACCCTATACTAACATTTCAAAGGTTTTGCAGCTACAGAAAATGACCAAAAATGTGAGTACAAGCCTAGATGTGAATACAAGCCTTGGCAGAACAACATCTTCAAGTCTAAGTCTCACTCTTTGCTAGCATTGAATGGCTGGCTGGTAACTTCATCCAGCAAAGGGACATTCCATGGTTGGTATTACAACTGAAAGTCATCAGAGTTCTAACAGCCTCTGGCAGCTACAGATATGCTTGGTGCAAGGGTTCGAGACCATGTGTGCTTTGTATATGTTTGGTGCCATTTAATTTCATGAACATTCCTTGCAAGACAGTTTTTGCAGTTGCAATTTGTTTATGAAATTCCTCAACCCATGTACGTGTCCTAACTGAAGACAGAATGGAAGTCTAAGAGATCATAAAGAGGATGTCATGCTGACTGCTCTAAAACAAAACATCTCCCAAAATAAGCATGACGCCCTGTCACCATACCAGGTACAGAACAATACAAAATCAATACTGTTTGCCCCCCCAAAAGAGTAATAATAGTGCTTTTATTTTACTGAAACATTTGGGTTGAGCCTAGAAACAGCTGAAACCCAAACGTAGGGAGATGTTGCTGAGCACTCCCCAAGCAGCTCAGCGTACAACAGCCTCCAGTACTGTGCCTAACAGGTTCAAAGTAAGTATCAGCAAGACAAAAAGCTATCCTTGTTCTCTTGAGATTTCAAAATGACAGATCAATGGAGCACTTTCTCCCTATTTTATACGTGGCCAACTGTGGAACAAAACATGCTGTAAACTTATCAAAGACCCCAGAGCAAATCAGCACCAAAGGTGGGAACAGACAGCTAGGTCTCCTGCTCTAAGTACACTGAATTGCATGGGGCCTCCTAAGGTTATGAAGTTTACTGCCAACAGTACTGTCCCCCTAAAGGATAACATTTACGTGCACACACACATTCTCTAAAGGGCTATTCAGTACAGAAGTCCCTGAAGAGCAGTAAAGTGCCCAAATCCACTCCAATTAATACATGACACAGTAAATTCTCTGACTGCACACTGCGGTATAGACATGTTGATTTTCAATCTGCAAATGTTAAGTATGGTAAATATACCCAATTCTCTGAAGCTAACCAAACACAAGCATTACGCTATGCATTTACTTTTTATTTGAGACCCCTCAAGATCTCTGGATGCTTTAAAAAAAAAAAAAAAGAAGTCAGTCTGGAATCCAAGAATAACATTTACAGAGTATTTCATTGAACACTACAGAATATTCAAAAATGTTTACATGTCTGCGGAGTGCAGGCACAGAGCCAGGACTGTGACCTGTTTGCCATCTTGGGCTTTCTACCTAGTTGTGTAAACACAAGGAATTAAATCATAATACTGTTACAAAAGTAAGAAATATGAACTGCTTTCTGCTGGGGTCATACTACACACAGCAGGACAGCAGGTGGTCTCTAAAATTACCTATCAGTTACTGAAAAGAAGTTGATTCTGTAGTTACAGAGGTTTACGATCCATCCTTGAGATCACAGCCAAGTCAACTGCCTTTAATATTTTATTTGTTATTCTTTGCTACAGCATTGTGGAGTGAAATTTGGGTACTTAAAAGCTATGCCAGGAAACGTATCCTCATCCACAAAGGATGGAGGGCTGGTAAACACTCAGACCTTCTTAGGAAAGGAATATAGATCATGTAAGAACATCTTCAGAGTTAGGTGAAGAACACAATGTTGCCAGGGCAGTCTCCTGCATTTATTTCAATCACTAGCAAGAAACTGGCAATGAGAACAGAGAAAGCCTTGGAGAGAGTAATCATAAAACAACAGAGTACACAATTACTGGACTAAGGAAGAAGAATAGCAGAAAAGCATGAGGACATTCAGGAAGCCTAGGTAAGAACTCACTGGACATGAGCCTAAAGGAAAATGGAAATGCAGAGAGCTGGGAGTGTCTTAAAGAAAAAATGTTGAGGGCCTCAGGTCAAAATCAACAAAGTCCCTATTCCCATTTTATTATTTAATGGATTTTAAACCACTGTAACTACAAGGATGCCATGCAGGGAGTAAATAAGGAGCAAAGAGCCACGTGGGAGAGAGCTGGGACTGCATATACTGGCAGTGCTGCCAAAAGAAACATTCCTCAAATCATGGCTTTGCTTAGATGCTTTTACAAGTCCCACTGATTGCTTATTAGTTCTGCCTTTACAACGCAACACATGATTGCATGCAGAATTCACACTTTGAGGGGTGAGATTTTGATATCACAGTGTTTTGCTCATTACAGGCAATACAACTTCTAATTACAAAAGGTATCACAGTAAAACTTCCCCAAACTGGAGAACTCCTGTAACGTGCACTCACCATGTTGTGTTTGAGAATCCTCTGTACCACTGGTGTGAACACTTCAATCACAACCATGGACCGCGGGCGCTCCCGGCAGTGCTGTAATGAGCAACAATCATTTTGTGAGCTGTGGAAATCATGGAAAGGGGTCTCCTCTTCACACCCTATGCATGGATTACCCCAAGATTAACAAGATCCAAGGGCTAAATTAATCTTTCCTGGGATTAGGGTACTTGTAACACTGCTCCTTCCTATATATTTGCTGGCATCTAATGGAAGATTACTGTGGGAGCTCATCAACGTGAGGCCTTTCCCTGCTGCCCACTCTCCACAAAACTCACTGGATGCAGTATTCTGTGGACTTTTACCCATTTTAAAACTTGCCAGCAGTTTTAAAAGTAAATGGGTTGGGAAGAAAAAGGTATGTAGACACGGGCAGCATAATGGCACAGACCTCCTTTCCTTGGTATCCATGCTAAAAACCTGTGGTGGACCTTGGAGGGTACCAACAAGCCAGTCCCCCATCACAGGCTAAAACATACAATCTTAATGTATCAATCAGAGTAATTTAGGTTGGGATGGACCTTTTGAGGTCATCTGGTCCAACCCCCTGCAATCCCTTGCCTTGAGTCCGAGGTTAGATATGACCCTAAGACTGGCTTAATAAAATGCAACAGTCAGAGGAGTTTCTGAAACTTGACTTAGATTCTGTAAGAAGCAGCTCCTGATTAGTAACTCTGGATGGGAATTATAAATAGCATCCAAAATGTACCCAGTCATCAGTAAGCAAATTCAAGCTGACACACTAACAGGCCTAGAAGAAAAGTAGTGTTTTCAAATCCAAAAGATCTGCAATCCAAAGTACTCAGAAGTTTATGGAAACGAATGCAAAATACAATACAAGCATGGATTTACCAGGAAAGAGTCCTTATAGTTTTCCCACTGCCATTAACCAATGACATAATACCATTAGGGCTGAGTTATGCATCATATTACCAACTCATCTGAACACAATGACTCCAATGATTTTTGCATTAGCTACATACAACATGCAGTAGGACATCTGTGGTACCCAGACTGAGGTGTGGGAGTCTGAAGCTTTTGACTCTCACAGAGCATCACAACGATGCAGTCTGATGTACGAAGAGTATGGATCTATTTATCATAATGGTGCTGTTAAATATTTGGTTGTTGACCAAAAACTAAAATCAATTTGGGCATGAGGTAAGGCACTATAGGAAAAAAACAACCAGCCCCTCAAAGAGCTACACTCATAGACAACTATGAGATTTCAGAAAGCAGAGCTGTTCTGGTACCTTGCAGAAGAATTCACAGAGGTCAGGAGGAGGATGGTTGTTTTCCAGCAAAGGTGCAATTGCCTTTAGAAAGAAAGACAGAAACAGAAAACAATTTAATTAGAGGATTAGCGACTGGAGTTAGCATTTTGCAGAGAAATGTTTTTCTTGGGGGGAAAAGATCACTTTTTAAAAGGAAGGACAAGAGTATCAGAGAAATTAAAGATGGGTGGGTTTGTTTTACATGTGTGTTTATTTTACACATAAGCTCAAGCACACCTTTGCTATGTATCCTCTGTAAAATCTTGCCTTTAACTGTGTCAGTGCAAATATATAACACGTCACAAAAGAAGCACAGTTTTTATAATGGTTTAAATGAAAACAGGAGCAGGCCAATTGCTTCAGGATGTAATACAACAAGGATGAATCAGGCTCCCTGTTTCAGTACAACATCTCTCCAAAAGACAAAAAATAAACCCCACACACATCCTTACATCCTTTATGAAAGAGTTCAAGCTCTTTTTGTGAGAAATAAGTCCCTACAAGCACCATAGCACTGTTCTTACCTTGGTGGACTCATCAAAATCAAGCATCTAACTTTGCAAGTTGAGATTAACCATTCCTTCTCTGTTGCTATGCAAACCAATGTGCTTATGCTTGGTAAATACATTAGAGGTCATACCTGCCACTGAGGTTGTAATGAGCTTACGCTGTTGTTACTTCCTTGGTAAATTAGAAAATGGCACTAGAATAATGTATTCTCTCTATGTGCTAGTGCCTTCGGGCTCTTCCAGTCTTGAGCTAAAGGGATTCCCAGGACCCATTTAAAAATAAGACTCTAAACACAGCACCTAGGACATTTTGTATTAAGCAAGTGAACACCAGATATTTTATCTGGATGGCATCTGGAGTTTTACTAAGGCAGCCTGCTTTGTTTTTTTGTGCTCCCTCCTGTCTCCTTAAGGGTTTCAGCCCCAGCGACTCTGCTCACAATGACCCTGTTTCACAAAAGCCACTTTCATGCACAAATAGGTCAAGATTAATAGGAAACCCAAGTGCATCTCCAAAGATCTGTTTTGGTTACACACAACATTTGTGAAGTTTCTGCTCATTATCATGTGCTGTACTTCTGCAGCCATTCACTCTTCCTCTGGAGGTGGTCCAGCAACAGTGGTCTGATGGGAGAGTGGGACACTATTCAGTGAGACTAGAATATACTTGCTGCCCATCCAACAACACCTGAGGTAAAGATCTCCCTTCAATCTGCCTTTTGGAGTGTTTGCTGTAGGGCCTGCCATATCACAGGAGTCGTGTGCTGCAAAACCACCCAAGTGTTCACACCAGTCTGGTATCTGTCAGAGGATCACCGCATTAGGGATGCAACTGGGTGGCTGTCAGCCTAAGGAAATGAGCTTCATTGTTTCAGCCCAGTCTTTTCTGAATGTAGGGAATAACTACAACAGACACAGGCAAGTGGGTCATGACTCTGCCTGTAAGGTCAGTGTTGAACAGCGACAGCATGAAAGCACACTGTATTTTCTTATGTGTGCTCTGAGTGAAATCAGAAACTTGCTATCCTGCATTGCCCAGTCATGGCAACATATGCTTCCCCTTCCTTACCAGGAAAGGATCGATTGTAATATTGATCTATTCCAGCACCATCTAGAGAAGGAAATCTGGTTCCATCTGCATGGCAAATCACTGTGTACTTTCAAGACACTACATAAATACATAGTACTAGCAATACTTCCTGAGAATAGCACAGATTAGCTGTGTAACAGCAGTGAACTCTGAATGCCCATAAACTGCCATGTCCTTAATGGTTCAGGCACAACCTACAGTAGGGCAGGACTTGAAGCCATCACTTAGAACTGAGAAATAATGTAGGCAGACAGGTCCTTTGGAAGCCCCCTGGTCCAACCTCCCTGCTCACAACAGGGTCACCTTGCGTCTTTCATTAACAAATCCTTCCCCCAAAACAACCAGTTGTAACTGGGGCCTGAATTTCCCTTGGCACTAGAGTGAAACGAAAGCTGCAGCAGATCTTGAAGAAAAGTAAAAGCCACTTCAGAAACTCATCTCAGTGGCTGTTTCCGGCTAAAATAATAACCTTATGCTTATTAAAGCTTAATGGTACCTTATGCAGCCACATATACTGGCAGCTACATGCCACCTTGTCATTCTGCAGAAAGAGTCATGGCAATGTGACAGGATCGGGTGCTGGTGAGGTTTTAGATTAGATGACCAGGAAAATCTCCAGGAACTTGCCAGTGGCTGAAATTAAATTACAGTGATGGGGAACCAAGCTCCAACTTTCTGATCAATCGTTGAGATTCTGTATTTTGATGCACAAAAAGATGGCCATTCGATTCACTTATTTCTATCTCTAAAAAACTGCAAACTACAGAAAAGAGTTGAGGAAGGTATTTGTATAAATCAAGTAAGCAGGGGGTTAAACTGCAGTGCCACATACACATACCCACGCTACAAAAACAATCACTTGCTCACATACCATCAGCAGTGGAGACATTCTGTATACGGTAGTGTTAACCCCTCAGGAAACTCCTAAGCCTGAAGGTTTTAGAGGGCATATCTGGAAATTACGTTTTTTGACTACGTGAAGTACATATATAGAAGTAAACATTGCACAGTGTAGCCTAGTAAGGACATCATTCTGGGAGATAATTAACCCTGAAGGCACTGTGCTTGACAAGGATACACTGTTGTTAGCCAGTTACGAAACAACAGAAATGACAAAACCACACAAATCCCAGTAGAACAAATTGGTTTGATCCTGCCTCACTTTACCAGCATCAGTGGAAATGCTTTTGTGTTTGCTTGCTTCACCGGGGCAGAAGCAAGCATTAACAGAAGTGTCAACAAACCATACAGACTTGTCCTTGGATTTTGTCAGAAAGATACTCACCACAATAATGCTCTCGTGGTCTTGAGTGGTTAAGTTGTTGTTCTGAAAGAGTTGAATAGAAGAAATAAATGAGCAAAGAGTCCTCTCAGTTGGCATATCTGCGTACACAGTCTTCTTAACTACCAACAGCTAAAAGAAAAATGCTAAAGACGTAAATTGCTTATTTTCAGAATAAAAATCATCACCTTGAAATCATTCTCTTAAAAGGAGGTCACATATTATCTGTTATGAGGGCTTCTGAAAGCTTCCGTTTTTCCCTCAGAACATTAAGATTCAAGTCACCAGAGCCACGAAAGCTGCACACAAACACCAGGATGCCAGAGGAGGTCTTAATCAGTTGGAAAACTGAAGCTAGAATACATTTCTCAGAAATGTTTTCTTAAGACCAGCTGTATATTTCTAAGAAAAATAACAGAAGGATTGTTGTGGTGCTGTACACCATTATGTTCGTGGCAGACTAACTGCTGCATTTCTCGTGAAATTCCTAGTATATACATTATTGCTACACGAATTACCACCTGTGGAAACGAAGACAATGGAAGTCCAAGGGAGATGTGTCACTCACTTAAGACATGAATCAGACCCATGATAAATTTATCATAAATAACCAAGAAAGAAACACAGCCAAACAAAAAGCCTCGAGAGAGAAGTGTTTTGTCTTGTTTCTAGAAATCTACCTAACATAGGTCAAAATCTCCTCCTTCTCAGCAAGCACAATTTCCACTCAAATCAGTAAAAGTCAGAAGCAGACTCAAAGGTAGAATTTGGACAGCCCATGCTAAAAAAAAACTCACCACAAACTTCTAACTTTTTGTCTCCCCTCTAAATCAGTGACTGTAGTGATAGGATGAGGCATAACAGGTTCAAACTTACACAGGGGAAGGTCAGGTTAGATATAAGGAAGAAGGTTCTTTAATGTGATGGTGGTAAGGCGCTGCAACAGGCTGCCCAAGGAAGCGGTAAATGCTCCATCCCTGGCAGGGTTCAAGGCCAGGTTGGACAGGGCCTTGGGTGACATGGTCTAGTGTGAGGTGGCCCTGCACACCAAGGGGTTGGAACAGATGATCTTAAGGTCCTTTCCAACCCAAACCATTCTATGATTCTAAATGCAGCAGTGTCTTCCAGGAGCACTACTGAGGTTCATACCTCTGAGAGCAGCTTTGAGACAATCTCCAGTGGTGCCTGGTGAATGGACTCATCCTGAAGGGGAGACGATAGCGCCATGTCCACCAGTGTCCTGATCTCCTTCAACACCACCTCCCAGCGGCCTGGGTTATCGAGCACTTTCTTGTACTTGTAAATCTTTTTCTGCAAGAAAAGTGAAAGGGTCACTCTGACAACACCATCAACCCCTTGAAACAACTGACTGGATATGTGCTTCCTACATGCAACTGACAAGGGGGCTGCTTTTTGAGTTTTGTCTCTTCTGATTGCTGAAAAGCTGTACTTGAAACATTAAATGGAAAAGAAAACTCCGTATGTCAATACCAACTTGCTTTGTGGAAGCAATGAAAAACTGTGATTCCCTTTTTATACTTTAATGTAAATTTTAACTCCAAAGCACTTTTTCTCCATCATTTCCTCTTGTAAACACTTCAATCCTCAGGATTATAACAGATACCAGCTAGTGCACTGTTTCCAAAGCTGCTGGTCCTCTTAAAGGGAGGTAGTCATAAAGAAAGCAGGAGAGAGAAAGGCCATCAAAGCATCATTCTATAGACACTTTATTCTGCACTGCTAATTGGTGAATTCACATTCAGAATGAATTAAAATCAATGTTATCAAAGTGCAAAATCCCAGTAAACCCACAGGGCTTTTTTTCCTGCTTTGATCCTGAAAAGTCACGCTGTCAATCTCAACAACAAACTTGTAAAGTCTCCAAGTTTTCCATGCAACAACACTTGTACTCTGAAGCATTCCCGGCTGCCTGATCCTATCTGCCCCACTTCTCTGCAAGCCCCTGCTTTACATCTAGTCATGCCCAAGCTATTTCACTGATTGCCCTGTCCACAGACCAGCAGAAAACAATTCTTACCTCCTCAGCAGCCATGTTCCCACAAATGACTGGAGCAGAGGTTGCTGTGTATTATAAATAGTGCTCTTTAGCAAAAACCCACCCTCCCAAATCCCCAGAGGGGGCTTGATGCAACTCTTTAAGTTCAAGGAAACCATGACGAGCGTTACGAGGCCACTCCCAAAACCAGCCCGAAGGGTACATTGGAACCAGGAAAGGTTGCCAAAGCAGTCAGCGGCCCCTGGGACTGGTAGGGAAGGAGCTCTGCTGTTCGAGGACAACAACTGCCAGGACCACAGCACTTGGTTCAGTTCACATACCCTTCCACTCACTGCTATGTGTGAATATGGCCCTCTGGCCAAAACGCAGTCAAGAAGCCTGGAAAGATCCAGTTTATGAAACTGCAAAGTCTGGGCACTTCTATATGACATGAAACTATTAAGCGTTTAGCGCTAAATTGGACCTTAAATTCCTAGGCAGCACTTCTAGGAAAATCACAAAAACTGCCCATGTGGTGCAGATTGAAGCTTGCAGACATAGCTGTGCATTTTGGGCTTTCAATAGCCAGTGCTTATTACGCTTTGCAAAGGGTCAGCCTGCTCTGTTTTGTTTTGGCGCTTTGTTGCTTCTTGTCGTTTCCCCCTCCGCTCGCAGAGGGCAGCCCCAGCAGGAACCATATGAACAGACTGGCTCACTGTTTATCAGCTACTTCCTTCCCACCATGGCAGCAGATTTAATGCTCAATACAGAACACAGCCACCTCTGTACCCTACCTGAAACATGAGAGAACAATACGGAAAAACAAGGATTTCAGATGCCTTGCGTTTGTCAATGCTGTTAGAGGATGGGAGAAGAGAGTGGCACTGGGCTGACATGTACAGGCTGATAAAGCAATCCAATTATCTTTTTAATTAAATTCACGCAAGTACAAAAGCACGTTGGCAGAAGTTCACACTTTCAGTGCATTTTAAGCCACCGAAAAGCTAGAGGAACATGGAAACGCATGCTGCAGACACTATCAAATGTGTTTGGGATTTCAGATACTGAGCAAAAATCTTTGTACTGAGCTCCTTGGGGCAGTGAGGGTCACCAACGTTTTGAAGCCACCGGCATTACTTCTACCATAATCACAGATTTTCTTAGAATCTTGAATCAGAGTTGAATTTCTATTATTCATATAGTGCCTTTTTTTAGGGTCTTTTTAGAGCTGCCCCAGCACTAAGTAAAATCTAAACTTCAAAGCCAAGCAGCTTTGTAACTTGAAGCAACTCCTTTCTGACTAATTGAGGACACCAAAGCAAGCTAACTCCTTTTCCATGCTGAAATTTATTCCTTGGTCCTGTACCATGAAGAAATCAAACTCAAAGCAGAATTCAAAGCTGGATGAGAAGCAGGAGCTGGGGGGGTACAAGAGCTGGAGGACTGGGTTATTGCATCCCTGCCCGCTATGGGCTGCCTCTTACTGGTGAAGGAAACCCTCTTGCCCAACAGGACGCTGCTCAGACAACCCTACCACAAATATCTTTCTTCCACTGTCAAATCCACTCTTGCCTGGCGGGGAGGGAGCAGTAGGGGAGGTTTCCTTTCCCTTTTAGATACGTCCATTAACAAATAAAGTTATGATGATAATGACGTACATAAAAGAAGAGACAGCAGGAGCTGTGCTCCCTGCTACACATGAGAGACCTAAGTAAGCTGCTGCTCAGACCCGGCGGACGGTGACTTCAAGTGAGTATCGGGGGCAGCTACCTTTGCAGACCACTGCAAGCAGGAAATCCAAACTAATCAGCCTCTGCTTCATGCTTTCAGTATGAAGGGCTGTGCCTTACCGAGGTACTGAGCTGTAATCTGCGAATGGCATTGCAGAAGTCTGGAATGATGGTGGGAAAGCAGCAGAAAACAAATAAATAAATGAGGAGCCATCCCCAAGAGGGTTGAACTCTGCTGTCCTGAACCTTTGCCCATGGTTACGCTGCTGTTTTTCTCAGCAGAATGGTTTTCACTGTTGAGCGCCTTGCTGAAAGCCTCAATTAAAGCTTGAAACCTATCAGTCGGCTACAGAAGCGATTTGCTGTGTATCAGCAAGCACTTAGCCAGCACCAAGCCATCTGCTCTATTCTACCTGTGCTTACTCCAGAGTGAGCAGAAACAATAATCACTCACAGGCTTAAAAGCAAAGCTGCCTGGTAAAGACCCGTATCTGAGAAGAGGCATGTCAACACGTGTGAGGAGTTCGTTCCCCCTGGATGTAGGTGTAAAAGATGCCTTCAGTTGCTGAAAATACTCACACAACATTCATAATTAATAGCATATACTAGACAAATACCGGGGTAGGAAACCAGTTTCTCTGGGATTTCACTAAGAGCAGCAGCTCCTGTGACAATTTATGTGAGTGAAAATAACACATGCCAACTTGGAATTTGACCCTCCTAGTTACTGACTGGCCAGAACCACACAGCTAGTGTCATTCCAAAATCTTGCTATGCTGACTTTAAAAGCAAAACCACTGAATTTAGTTAAGTACCCAAAAGAAGCAGCATGGGGAATTGAGTGACACTGACAGGGCATCCTTCATTCTCAAATCACTCTAATTAATTAAGTCTTGCAGAAACCCAAAGACTGAAGTGTCAAGCCTCTTTTAGAGGAGGAGTCCACATGTGAAGAATTACTTTTCCAGTGTTATTAAGCCAGCAAATGTGACAAAACTCTGTAAGCAGTGGTCTTTGCCAACAGTGCTCAAGAGCTCCTGAAGGGGGGCTATAGGGATGCTGGGGAGGGACTCTTCATTAGGGACTGTAGTGATAGGACAAGGGGTAACAGGTTAAAACTTAAACAGGGGAAGTTTAGATTGGATATAAGGAGGAAGTTCTTCCCTATGAGGGTGGTGAGGCACTGGAATGGTTTGCCCAGGGAAGTTGTGAATGCTCCATCCCTGGCAGTGTTCAAGGCCAGGTTGGACAAGGCCTTGGGTGAAATGCTTTAGTGTGAGGTGTCCCTGCCCATGGCAGGGGGGCTGGAACTTGATGATCTTAAGGTCCTTTCCAACCCTAACTATTCTATGATTCTAAGACCACTGTGAACAGAAAGTTTAGGAGAGCCTAGGAAACTAGCTTTTTTAAGTAACATCATTACATGTTTTTCAATCCCATAATAGCCTCATTCTGTAGCCCTTGCTCAAACACCACTTCCATGGACAAGATGATAACACCGATGTAGTTGACATCTAGGAAAAAATGGACTCTAATGCACAAAATTGGATGACATGGAACAACTGCCTTTTTCAGCCCTAGCAAGACCTTTCAGGTTAGGCACATCTCCAAGCACCTGATACAAAACGGGCAAGAAATTTAGTCCTCTTTATGACCAAATTTCATCTCTGCTTTGCTACTGGTGGTCAGGAAATGTTCTGTGCTCTCGGGAACCTATTTGCCTGTCAGCAAATAATATCTTCATTACATTAGAAGAAAGAATTAATCGCCAACCCTATCCCAGAGCAGTGTATTAAACTAGCTCACTGCTCTTCAGCCCTTTACCACACAGCAGCACGCAACTCATCGCTTCTTCACTGGAGAAGCCGGAGCTACTGCAGGCACATACGCTGACTCGGAGGGCTGCGTGTGCCAGCAATTGTTTATTTCTTGCTGAGCAACGAGGGCAGTTCCAGCAAAGGGAAAAGGTCAGCCTCCTGCACAGAGGTCCTCCCCAGCTCATCGCGGCGATGGCTGAGCCAAGGTAGTGTTACAGCTTCGTGTTGATGGCGCTTGTGTTAAATGGAGGTGCCTCTTGATAGATGCGAACATACGGAGGGGGGAAAAAAGCCACAAAGAGCAACACCAGAAGGGTCCTCTTCACTGTAGCAGGACGTATGTTAAAATGCTGCACCACAACACGAAGAGTTGCTTGTGATGTTCAACACACATGCTTGGCTCGTCCTACAAAGCCCAGGAGATGCACCATGTATTCTTGAGCACCACCTGCTGGTATTCTGTCCATTAACTCCTTACCTTCATGGAAACATAGATGGCATGGCATGCTACACCCATGTTCTGCTTTTGACATTAGCAGGCATCACTTCTTTCCCAGTATTCTGAGAAATATGCAAGAATAACTTGTTGCTAGGAGGAGTTTCCCTGATAGCAAGAGACTGGCTTAAATCACTAGGTGCATCCACTGAAAGCCTTCTGAATTAAGCTCCTACCTGCAACATTTACCAATATGAAGAAAAAAAGCATCTCACCTGAAGAGACTAGGTCTATAAAAAGTCTCATTCCATGCACAGGCCTGGGGCCAGGAT